GTCACGCATCGACGAGTAATTCTGGCGTTGTTGGTAGCATATAGCTGGGCCTCCGAAGATAACGCCGCTTACGTCTTGACCCTTGGCACGAGCCATTATATTGCTGATCTTCATACACCCAGCACCCGACACAACCGGCACATCTTCCGACCCACCTTGGCCTCCAAAAATTAATCAGGCCATTGTCAGGACCGAGATTGACACTCTCGTCGTCGTAAGTATACTCGCTGCAATCACTCTCACTTGCGCAAAAGCTCATGGACTCGGACGAACTTGGAGTTTCTGGAAATGAGGGAAAAAAAACATTGTGTTGCCAACATGTAAATCCATTTCCATCAATCTGGGAGCCACGTCACCCTGTAAAGAAAAATATTGAAACACACCTAGCTTCTACGCAAGAAAGAAAAATATAGAGCAGCGCATCTAATCACATAAAACCACGCACCCTTTATTAAAAACTCCTTACTGGGGCATTTGCGGTATACTGGAGGCCTTAGACGATTTCTTCTTCGCGGATCGTAAGGCAGAGCGGCACATTACACGGCGAGGCCGTACAGTTATTAGCATGATACGCGAATAAGTCAGCCGTGATCTGTGCTAGTCGATAAGTGCGCCACTTATCACTATGCGACGCCCAGCACACGCTGCGCAGGAAACGCTTCATGTGTGGACATAAGCGGTGGAACTCGGGGTCTGTGCACTGGACATCGTCGCAGTTGCAAGCGTGGATCAAGAGCAAGTTACTCTTCTTCGGGTCCGCTGCCAGCTTATCTGCAATCTATACAGCAATAACAAATCCATCAGAACTAAAACTCCTTAACCGATTCCTATCGTCACATACCTTTATCGACGTGGGCTCATCTTCGACCGTCACACTAGCTGCCGTGTTGTCTAGAGTTGGAGCAGGTTGGACCGGCTCCGTTGTTGCTTCTGCAGTTGCGTTTGCCGCCCCATTCTCGCTATCAGCTTCACCAGCAGTAGCCTGCATCTGCTTCTGCCTGGCAGTCTCCGCTGAAGAACTAGGATGCTTATCACTGCAGTTGGGACAGTACCACGATCCGTCTGGTATCGAATCCAGCGGCGGTTGGAGGCAGAAGGTGTGATACTCAGCATCGCAATCGTCACATAGAATAATATCCTTCTCCCTGTCAGACCTCTTGCAAACCTCGCACGCAGTCTCAGTTTGTTCTTCCTCCTCCTCTTCCATCTCCACGTCCATGGAATGTTCCTGCTCTACATGTGACTCCAGTTGCTGCCGCTCCGGCTGTGTACTCTGCCGGTGTGGTTTGTCCCCTTCAAAGTCGCTCAATTCGTCCATAGGATTGACCTCTCGAGTGTCCACCTCGCTAGAAGACTCGCTCAGGTAGTCGCGAACGTTAATAAGTTGTGGCGTTGACCCGCCCGAACTGCTGCTGCCATTAGTAGTGCCATTAGAGGCTGATGTCGTGGTGACCATTGTTGCTGTGGTGGTTAGGACCAAATGGAAATACGATTGTTACAAATCACGATATGTAACTTAGAAATAGAAACGTACTCGGAGTCTCGGTCTTAACGGCAGGTGGTACAGGCTGATAGCGCGAACCACGACCGGCGTCTGCACTCGCAGCTGGCTGTCCAGGAAGCTTGGAGATAGTAAGCTTCACGAACGCGTCGATTTGCTGTAGGTCGCGGTCCTGAGCCAAAGCGTCCTCCCAGTTGAACCGCACGCGCGGTGTG